ACCAAGAAGAAATTGGCTCTCCTGCACAGTGGAATATTGATAGTACAGTGAGAGTAATGATACATGATAAATGTAACTTTAATACTATGTATAATTGTAGGTAAATTTAAACATTAAACTTTAGTGTTATTCCTAATTATATAAAATATTATTATAAAATAATGTTACCGCTTTAATTTAGTATAATATTTTTTTTATTAAATTTTTATTCTTTGTTGTACTTGCCTTTTCATCTATTTTGTTTGGGCTATTATAATTGTATTTGCTATGTTATATTGTTTAACAAGTTTGAATCTTAATCAAATATTACGTACACAAATCTTAATTCCAGCATGCAATTCAATAATTATTTTTTAAAATTTTCATACATGTTATATGATATCGACGGAGTTAAAAAGGAAATCTGGAGTCTATAACGAAGGAATTTTGATTCGAAGAGAACTTTAAAAATATTTTTTGTATTTATCAACTTAGATTAATATATAACCTCAAATTTTTTCATATTAATATGCTTAATTAATTTATACAAGAAATTAAAGTAATTATAATCATATTTAAATATTAAATTTTATTTTCCTAGTGCTCTCCTTTTTTTTTTCTTTCTTAACATGAAATTAATTATTAAGAAAATAAATATTGTGTTAAACTTGTAAATTAGATGCACATCATTTCTCTAATAGTAAATGCATGTGAGAGGCGTGACAAAGACGTCCAGTACTAATAAATAGCAAAATAAGTAAGCAAAAAAGAAAAAAAAATCTTAACTCAATAGAAATTTTTATTTTTAGTTATTGTTTTTACTTTATTTTATTTTATTTATTAAGTAGATTAATTAGTTTTTTTAAAATCTCTGAAAGGGAGGTTTATATTAGAATTAATAATAATAATAATAATAATGACAACAAAATCATGATAATTAAGCATATTTAGATCTTGATGCATTCACTTAATTAAGTTGAGTGTGTAATATTTCTTGTTTAGGGTTATTATTTAAATTTCTGAAAATTAATCATAACTCTGATGGAAATATTATAAAAAATGATTTATAAGTTTAAATTTTTATATGGTGAATATTCAGCATTATTATGTAAATGATATTTTTATTCTCTTAAAATAACTGGATTGAATGAAGGTGAAAAAGCATATTTAACATATTTATTTAAAAATATTATATTGCATAGGATTATAATTTTATCTCACAAAGAAAAAATGAAAAATATTAAGGCGTCTGACAATTTGTAAATGATCAATAAAGGATTTAATGAGGGGGTTCATGAAAAAATAAATTCTGGAAAGAGCTGCTGCTCCTCCTCGCGATCTAAGTGAGCTTTCTCGTACTTTACTATACCAATTGAAGCCAGTCCTCCTCAGCTGATCCGAAAGCTCCCAACTTTCATTCCCCTTATGGAAAGCCTTTCTTCTTCTTCTTCTTCTTCTTCCCCTCCTATTCACTCGTCCTTCTTAGTTGTGCTCCTTTTGGGGTTTTTCGCGTTTGTTCTGGAGATCTATTGCCGTCCCTTATTCATCCCGCTCGCTTTTAGGTGGAGATGGGGCGGGGAAAGATTGAGATAAAACGGATCGAGAACTCAACGAACCGCCAAGTGACTTTCTCGAAGAGGCGGAATGGAATCATGAAGAAGGCCAAGGAGATCAGCGTGCTATGCGACGCCCAGGTCTCGCTTGTTATCTTTTCCAGCCTTGGAAAGATGTTTGAGTATTGTAGCCCCTCCACCACGTAGGCTGATCTAATCTATCGATTTTCCGATTTCTATTTTGCTCTTGTTTTCTTGGTTTTTTATGGGGAGTTGTGGGATTTGAAGGTTGTCGAAGATGCTGGAGAAATATCAGCAAAACTCGGGCAAGAAACTCTGGGACGCAAAACACGAGGTAAAATTTTATGAAAATCTGTGATTTTGCTAATATTTGATGGGGATATTGGCTACTTTGATAAGTTGGGAGACCAATTGCAGAACTTGAGCGCGGAAATCGATCGCATCAAGAAGGAGAATGATAATATGCAGATCGAACTCAGGTTGTTTGAAAGAAAAATCATTTGATTTGTATTTAGGGACTGTTTGTTTCAACCGAGATTCATGTTTTATGGACTGGGCTTTTGAATGGTTGTGCAGGCATTTGAAAGGGGAGGATCTGAACTCTCTTAACCCAAAAGAGCTCATCCCGATCGAGGAAGCCCTCCAGAATGGTCTTACTGGTGTTCGAGATAAACAGGTGACAGTTTTATTGGTTTAATATTTTCATATATTTTTTAACCTTTAGCTATCTTTCTGGTGTTTTTTTGTGATGATTTTTGTTTTGTTTAAGCTAACAGATGGACTTCTTGAAGATGCTAAAAAAGAATGTATGCTTCATGAACCAAATCCTTTCTGTTCCTCTCTCCCTCTCTCCCTCTCTCCCTCTCTTTATATAGATTTTAATGTTGGACACTAGACCTAATACTTGGTTTCATACACTCACACTCACGATATGCAGGAAAGAATGCTTGAAGAGGAAAATAAAAGGCTCACATACCTATTGGTAATAACCTTGCCTAGTTTACTTATTAGAGCTTACAATATTCTTAAAATTTCTCGGCATACTGTTTTGTTTAACATGAATAATATGATTGAAATTAAACTGTAACATTTTGTAGGAATATAAATCTTTATGTTTTTTTGTGGTCATTCTATTTTACATATGATTTGCATCTTTTTTTTACTTGTTTGACTGCAAATGTTTGAGCTATTAACAATTATCTAGGATTCATATACGGGATACTTTTGAACCTTCTCTTGATCGACCTAGAATGCTATTGCATAAGTGTTTTGATATCAAAGTATGATCCTGATCAATGATTGCTTGGTTCTTAAGCCTATAATAGACTCAAGGAGGTTGAATATATAGCTTTTTTGATAGAGAATTGTGGATCATATGCAAAATAGGCATTCCTATTTGGTTGTGGGCTTGAGTTAGATGGCACCTTACAAGAGATGACCAAATAATTATTGCTTCTTGTGTGGCTTCCCCAAGTAGGATTAGGAGATATAGAGAGAACTTGCTGAATGGCTGAACGAGAATAAGAGTCATGATAACTCATAAACCAAACTTGCAAGTATTCCTTAGGTTAGATGATGCTTTCCTTGTTTCCACTTCTTTTTGGATTGCTTCGCCTTCTTCTTTTTCTTCCATTGTGTTTTTTTTTTTTCCTTTTTTAAGGCCTAAGAGGGGTTGTGGAGATCGAGTGAAAAATGGACAGACTGAGAGGGGGTTTTGAGAGGAAAGTAGATAAATTTTTTTATTTTCCCATTTACCATTAATTTCAATAAAAAATAAGTGCAAATAATGAGTCCATTTGTAAACTCAAACAAATAACAAAAAATCAAATTAAATATACTTACATGAATGAAAGTGGAACTATCCTAAAGAACAAGCAAATCTTTTAATTATCATCCTTAGTATCCTATCTAAGTACTATCCAACATTTCATCAATAAAAACATTGATAAAACGTTTTATGGGAGTTTTTTTGCCAAACAAGCTTTTTTTTAATATTAAAATAATAAGTATTTAATGAGGGTTGTATATATGTAAAGGGAATTAACAATTGGTGCAAGCTAATTAGAGCAAGGCACAAAGAGAAAACAATCAAGAGAAACAAATCTTACTTTTATAAAAATTAAGACGTAACTTTGAGAACAAAATAAGAAAACAACTATCTTTAGAAAAGACAACTTCCAACTATCAAAACAAAAGAAGACTAACAAGTCATGTAGTAGATTATGAGAGATGCTGATATATATCATATGGATGGGTAGGTATTACTTCTTAATTCCTTATTCCTCTGGCTTATGATGAAATCAAGATGTTCAAATATTGGGAACAATATAGTTGTGATTAAAATAGTTCTATGTGGTTTCTTGTAAGGAAAAGGACCGTGCTGCTACAATTTGGAATATATATTGGAGATCAGTAGTGAATATTTGGAGACTTTCCCATGAAGTGTACCTAGTGGGACTGAGAGAGTGGAAAGTAAGAATAGAGACAAAATAAAGGAGATTGAATATTGAATTTAATTGTAAGTCATGGATAAGGAAAATCACATTAATCATATCTTATTTATACAGATTGGGTTATAATCAACATTTAGAACTGATTTTATCCAAATTGATATCAAATACTAACAAGTGATTGAAATTTAAATGTAGGAGTACCCAAAATGATAATTCATATTAATTTAAATTAAAATAAAAATAAACTTCTAGCCTTCATTTGAAGGCATCGTCTAATGCAGTGGAATTATGGGCTTCTACTTCAATTTGGATATCAACATTTATGTCTTTTTATTCATTTGGTTTAAATCATGTAATCAACTTCTCTGACTTTAGATCTTGAAGTAAATTCCATGAATGTATTAAATATTCAATTGCACTATGGGAATCTTTATGTAAAATTATGGTTCTTGATGAGTAATTGATCCTTATGATATTTTCCTTTCATTCCAATTATAAATTTGAGTGGATGGTGTTGGGTTAGATTACTGGATGTGATGAAATTGTTGGATGAGGGGCTCTCTTAAGATAATTAAGAGAGTAAAGTTGTGAAATCCTTTAAGTAAGAAAGAAGTTAAACTCTTAAACATCGAGGTGCCTTTTGATGTAATGGTTAGAATTTCATTAAGAAACTCTTCAGTTAAGCATGCTCATCTTGAAGAAATCCTGAAATGGTTGACTTCCTAGGAAGAATACCAACATGACAAAATTGTGAGGCCCTTAAGCCAAAGAGGACAATATCTCGATAGTTAATAGTTTGGATTGTTACAAATGGTATCAGAGCATTATACCAACCAGAAGATGAGAACTAAGTGCCATACAATACGAAGTGCTGCGCAATGGGAGCCACGTCTTGAACCTTGTATGAGACAAAGTGCTACGTGGCGGGAGTCATCACTTGAACTTATAGGTGAGACTTATAGGTGACATCTCTAGAATTTTATCTGCCAAGTGGATGATTTTAGAATAAAGATATTAACGATGATGTCAGTTACTTAACTTAGGAAGATTGTGAAATCCCTAAGTAAAAAGAAGTTAAACTCTTAAACATCAAGGCGCCTTTTAGTGTAATAGTCAAAATTTTATTAAGAAACTCCTTAGTTAAGCGTGCTCATCTCAGAGAAATCCTGGGATGGGTGATTTTCTTGGGAAGTTATACAAACATGACAAAATCATGAGACCCTTAGGCCAAAACAGATAATATCTCAATAGTTAAAATCTATAAGCGATTTTTTTTTCTTTTTTATTTTTAAGGGACATAATTAAAAGCTATATGTGGTTTTTTTTTTCTAAACCAAATTTTTATTCCAAAAAGAAAAGGGGAATACAACAAGGACCCACAAACAGCCGAAGCTAAAAAACAACAGAAAAGAAACAGGTAAGCAAACTCAACCAAACAACAGACAATCAAATAAATAGGAACAAAGGAGCCAACAACGGACTCAGGGAATGGCAGCCCCCTGCAACCATCCCACAGCCAGGCACGGACCATCCATTGGTGATAAACACTCCAAAAAATAACAACCTATAGCCCACACAAGCAAAGACCAAGCTTGAAGGTAAACAGGTTGCCTCCTCATCATCATCCAAATTGCCAAAAAATGCCACAACATCGAAAGGAAAGTAAACCCAAAAACTATTTTTTCTTAGATTTACTTTTACATCTCTTGCCACCACCATTGAGAACCGCTTGATCAACTACACACCCTACCATGAAGCTATACATATCATCATTTACATGGTCACCAAAATTATCACCCTCCCCCCCATAAGGCGTGGGCAGGGGCTCATCCAAATCCAGCCAATCAGATTGCTCCAAAGTAGAGTTATACACAGACCGGGCCAGATGGGCTTTCAAATCTGCATTAAACATAACAGAAATAGGAACCTCAACACACTCTATAAATCCCTTTTAAACATTCACAGTAGGAGACAAATCTGAAATAACATCACTAAGAGGCACGACAGCTCCTTCATTTCCCAGCTCGGCCAAAGCTTCACTACCCCCATCAAGTCATCAACTAATGAAATCGAAAATTTACCCGATTCCATAGCATCAGCACAAGTAGGGCTTGCAACAAGGTTAATGCAGCAATTATGAACATTCAAGAAACCATCAACACCCTCTATACTAGCTACATTAGAACATTCAATAGGTAAATGTGCCACAACTTACCCAACAAAAAACAGAAGCCAGTTGGGCATTAGCATCCCCGATAACAGAGGGAAGCAGATCCTGCTCCAAATCCTTAGACACAAAAGAGCCAACATTAACCAAAATTTCATTGTCATCAATTACATCAATAGATTCACTCTCTTGAACCAAATCACTAGCAACATCAGCTAAAACAACGACACCATCATCTGACACAACAGGGCCAACAGGAGCCAAAACCATAGGTAACTCATTAACTAAGACCTGACCAACATTGTCATCTACAGATAGAACAATACCCTTAAAAGACTGCTCAAGAACATGATTAAAAATACCCTCCGAAGCTTTAGGCAACTGGGGATGAATAATATGACATTCATGTTTCAAACGCCCCAAAGACTTACAATGAGAGCAATAAAAGGGAAAAGGCTCCATAACAACCATTTGAATATAACCCAAGCTCTCAGAACCAACCCAAACCTTATCAGGAACAATTTTGGTAACATCCAATTCCACCAAGACGCGCAACCGACGGCCTACGGCCAGTGGAAGTAGCATTATCAATTTTCAGGAGCGACCAAACATGGAACCAAGCCCATGAAGAATCCTAGGAGAGAAGAGGTGCGGTATCAGATTTGGAAAGGAAAACCATATAGGAATGATGGGTGATTCAATTTCAACATCAAAGGTAAGAGACAACTTGAAAATCTTCATGAAACAATTGTTCACAAAGTAGGAACGGTGAGAAAAAATATGACAATAATCAAGATCGTTTACAAGTTTGATCAGAACATGCTTAGGGTTAAGAATAGTGACCGAAAATTCACCATTGAGCTTGATGTTAAAGAAGAATTTGCGAATAGCCTCAAGCGTAGGACTATGAGAAGGAAATTTGCCCACTAAACAAAACTCAAAGGGAGATGCAAGTGTCAAAACTTCCTCATCGAAAATCTACGGTGAAGGCACCCCACGAAATGAAGAGATTTTGAGTTCCGGAAAATTAGAGGAAGAATAAGAAGAACAACCAAATAAAGCATCACGAAAGGACCTAAAAGAGGGATTGCCCGCCAAAAAACCGGGATTTTAAAGTCGTTTTCCCTCTATTGAAAAGATGAGGAGACGGAAAGCAAAAAAGAGCTGCAAAAACTATGAAAAACACAAGGAATTAGGGCACGAGACTTCCCTGAAAAGCTCAGAGAGCACAAACACGGTGATGGAAAGGGGAGTGCCATCCAGAACCCTAGCAGAGCGCATTGCGAGAAGTTTTTCCCTCGTGAAAAAGCTATGTGGTTGAGTTTAACTTTGAATGAAATTAGGGTTTGGAAGGGTTTAGTGGTCGGCCAACAAAATTAAAACAACTAGTCCAGAATTTGGAACGCTAGATTCTACCCACTGGATCTCCCTCTCCGGAAGTCCAATTGACTTGAAATAAAAGCCAAATTGAAGGGGAAGATGTCTATTTATGCTCTAGAGATTTTGGAGAATTCTTGCGGATTTTTTATATTTTTCCCTGAAATTTTCCCAAGATTGGTCTGCAAATTTCTCTTTATGGCTGTAGGCTGAATTGACGTAGGGCTTCTAGAATTTTTGGATATTTGTGAACATAATGTATGAAAATTAAAGGTGGGGATGTCTGCTATGGATATGAAATCTTGGTGAATTTTAGATGAGTTTTGGTTATCCAATTGAAATTAAAATTGCAACTAGGTCTTTTTTGGCAAAGTTGGCCGACCCTAACAAAAGCCCTAATTGGAATGGTTTGATTAATTGGAAAATTTGTTTTTTATTTTTTTGGAGTAGGGGATGATACATAAAATACAATGCCAATAAAAAAAAAGAAAATAAAACACACAAAAAATACTACTACTCATAAAAGTAGTAGTTTTAGAGGGGGTCACCAAACCCTAACTAGCTCCAACCAAGGGGATTTTCCATCTAATCTTGGCAACATTTTCAAAGATTTTACCAACCAGACTATATTATTATAAAGTTTATTAGAGGAGTATGGAATTAGATTTGGGAAACTTTGAGATTTTGACTTTGATACCAAATTGATGTATATCTTTTGGTTGATTAAGCATTCTTTCTTTATTCCTTCTTCCTCTGGTGAATTTGTGAGGGAATTGGGAGGCTCGACTACAAAAAAATTGGGGTGGCCATGATATGAAGAAAAACAAGATGGCGGCCATAGATTCCTTTATTGAAAAGAATCTCACCATTGGACTTGGGAATATATAGACCTAAATCAAGAATTAGACCCAGATCCAAGTCTAGATTGTAACAATCAAATTCATGAAAATAAATTGCATTTCTTTTATTACATTTGTTTTAAGGCAATTGCAATACAATGTTTACTTAATGCTAGACATTTCAATGGAAGTGAATTTGGCTGGTCTCCTCTCCCTGCGCTTAATTAGTCTTCCTGTAGAACTTCACAAGAACGCTTAGTCTTTTAGCAGGTGAAAATAGGGGATCACAATGTGAGGGAGGAAATGCTTGGGAGGGAAAGAATGAATTAGAGTCAGGATATGAAATAAAAAAAAAAGATTCCTTGTTTGGTTGTCTTTCTCCAAAGTCATTGTAGATTATTGCCTCATTTTTTTGTTTTACTCCTTTAGGGCATTAAACATTCATAAACTCACTCTCACATCTCTTATGTTATTTGATAGCTTTCACAGGCCTAATGATAGAAATGGTGTGAGCATTCCTGAAATTTTTTAAGACCAATTTCAACCATTATCCGTAAAGTAGTTGACACTTGTAGAAGGTTGTCATGTGTATTGCAAACACTTGGAAACTTGAAGGCACCATGCCATTATTTGGTGCGTCATATTCTTCAAACAAGGATTTTTGCAATACAATAACCTGCATTTGCATCTCTAGTACTTCCTCAAACCTAGTTGGAAATAATTTTTTTTGAAATACATTGGCTACTCTGAGTTCTTATCTTTTAGGACACTGATAAGTTAATTATGGTGGTTTACACTTTTTCGTAAGTAGTCTATAGTTAATGCTAGGATAAAATTCAGTTATTGCTCTAAATAAAGGGGGAAATAAGAGATACAATTACAACACTCCATTTCCTGTCTGTTAAGTTGTGGAGCATAATTATACCTACACAGAAAATGCTTACATATAGGAAATATGCGGATCAACTTTTGCGATAAGGTTGTTGTGGGATTTGGAAGGGGTTGGATCCTTGGAAGGTCTGCAGTATTTACAACTTAATTCATTAAAAATATTTTGGAGATTTCATAGGTAGTTTCACTTTCCATTGGATTTCATCATAAAAATGGTGCCATTATTAGAGAGATCAAAAAAGATATAAAATATGAGGCTGGGAATTTCTCTTGTAAAACTTCATCATCCTCACCGTAATGAAATCTGTACCAATAAAAATAGGAAGCAATCATCAAGTAGATGAGGATGTAAAAAAATTCTTGGTCTTTTTTTCTTTAAATTTAGGGTTTAGTTTTATTTATTCTTAGTGATTGGATTAAGCCTAAACTAATTCCCAACATTATTTATTGAAAAATTTGGCTTAAAAGCTAGTATAAGCCGTCATTTTTCAAATAGCTACTTTACTCTTTTGGCACTATTCAATTCATGGTTTAAAATTGCACAATATGAGACTCGTCTTGAGGCTACTCTCAACGCAATTCTAGTGAAAAACGCCTTGAGGGTATGCTTCACCCTATATATATAAAGCTTACCTAAATCCTAAACTAAAGTCTCGAATAAATCATGTCTTCATGCATTGCAACTCTAAGCTACAACAACTTCCTCTCGACTCCCTCGACCTCTAGTCCCCTGTCTTCACCGTAGCCACCACCATTGTAACCGCCGGCTGGGGATCACTTGAAGGCCGAAAACCACCATCACCTCCTCCTCTAAATAGTTTGGAGTATTAATTTCATCTTTATTGTGATGAAAAATATTTATGAAAAAAGAAGATGACTGAAATAAATAAAGAAGTACATTGAGAGGCATTACACTCCATAGAATGAGGTAGGGGTTAGACCAATTTGTTATAGTGACTCAAATAAAGACTCCTTAGTGATGACAATGCGGCTGATTTTTGAGTTGTTGCGAACTATTTTAGCTTTCGTTAGGAATTAAATGTGGATAAGTAAAAAGAAGGAATTTAGAGTTGAAATTGTTGTTATATAATACTTTTATCAATTCCTATATTTAACATTGTTTTGCTCTTGTAACATTTGAATTTCAATTCTATTTCACGCAATTCATCCCTTGCCACTTTACATCTTATGCTATTTTTTATTTCATATGTATATCAATTTGCTACTTCATAGTTCAATAGAATGTTAATATATAACTTTTTACATATTATTTGGGTATTATATAAAAATAGCTTTTAACTTTTATTTTCACTTTATATAATTTTTTAATTTTGAGACTCGAACAAAAATTGCCTCAATAATTAATTGTGTTTTAAACCTTGAAACAATCCTGCCACAAGACTTATATTTCTTTTTTAATTTTTAATTTGTTGTTCATATTGCAATTGAGCTAATCTTTCCTAGATAGTTCTTGTAAGTTTCATTTTGCCTCTTATTTCTGGAAATCGCTGTTTTCAATTTCACAGCATCATCAGCAACTAGCAATGGAAGGGAGCATGAGAGAACTGGACATCGGCTATCATCAGAAAGATAGGGAGTATGCAGCTCAGATGCCATTGACCTTTCGTGTGCAGCCCATCCAGCCAAACTTGCAGGGAAATAAGTAACACTATTAGCCTACTACTTTCCTCTTAATTAAATGAATTTTAATATTAGCTTTTTAGCAGTTTCATTAGAATATGAAGAACTTCAGTGATGTTCATGAGATATGTGCGTGCTACTGATATTGATATTGTAACTGCTTCATGACTGCAGTACTATGTATTTAAGCTTATTGTCTTTGGCTTCAGCACTGTTCAATTGTAGTAGATACCTACTCAGTATTTCGTGAAGGGTTTTCTGCTAATTCATCTCGAAAGTCATTAGTAGTCATGGTAAAGGACTTCTATGTTATTCTCAATTTTTTATAACTATGTTCTTAAGGTAATCTCTTTGATTGGTTAGATTAGTTTGTAAACTTTTATTAATTGTTTGCTAATTCCTTTTGTCACTTGTTTGATAGCTATGTACCTTTTATGGATTATACGTTTATTTAGATATTTAGACGCCTGCTATAAAATGAGAGTATTACTTGCATGCTCAGTGGATCTTGTGAGTGAAAATGAAATTTTATTTTTATGTTGATTGATTTGGAGAGTACAGCATTATTCATTCTTGTTTCCTACTTGTCGAGTAGGAAAATATTTTACTGTCTTTTTTTTTTCACTTTCAAGCAGTGCTTTTCCAAAATTACTGTTTTTTTATATCTCCCAGAGTGAAATAATTTTTAGGCCAAATTTGACTACAAGCTGACATACTGACATAGACAGATTACGAGCCCCAATATTTGATGGGACTCGAACTCTGTAAATGTCAGCACACTGTCGATGCTGTCTAAATATATATTGGTGAAAAAACACTATGCTGCCCAATCTAAAACTTAGAAAGAAAAGTTATGATATGTTGACATTGAACTTCAGAGAGAGAAGATGTAATAAATTTATGTAGCTTCTATTGTATTCGTTATCATTCTATTATGTCAAAAGTTTTTTTTTTTTTTGTGAATTCTGAATTGGACAGTGGAATTTATCTATATTTTATTTGCATTTATTCATTTTTTTAGACATTTAGGCCTATTAAGACCAGCACACACATCACATACGTAAGATTCGAATTCAAGACCTCTTAGTTGATAGCCAAAGTTCCTAACCAACAGATCAAAGAACCGCGTATTCGTTTTTGTTTGAATGCTGCAATAATAGAACTCCTTGTTTTTGAGCCGAACAGTGTTGATAAACAAAAGCAGTGGTCCATCTACTCACCCATAGAAATGACATGAATATTTAAAAAAAAAATCATTGTACTGTCATACTAGGCTATTCTGTCGAGTAGACGGTTGAATCTGCCCCATACTTTCCACTAGACCCCCATTTTGTTCAATTTTTAGCCTAAAATAGAGACTTAAGAGAACAAGTGACCCTTCAAAATATTAAGGGGCTGTTGATTTGCGCTTAAGTGCGTTTAAGCTTCAAATGAGGAGCTTATAATTAGGCTTTGAGTTTAACTCAAAGTTTGCATGAAAATCGAAGCGTTTTTTCAGTTGAATGGAGCTAATTCAATAGTCATAAGTTGAATGGAGCTAATTCAATAGTCATAAGCCAAACTTTTGCCTTGATTTGATCAAAATGAAATCTAATAGTAATAAATTCCAGCTACAAATTGATTTTGCGCTGGGATATAATTGATCATTCATGCCATAGCTCTGAATTTAGAAGTAGTTTCCCATAAGAATCCACGGAGGTTAATAAAAAAAAGAAAAGAAACAAACTGCATTAAATTGGCTATATATGCCAGTGTTAGATGGTGTTGAACGTCGGTGAAGTATCTGTTCTTAAAAAGTCTTAGTATTAATGCTTCTTTTAATACGTATTTATTTTGTGAGAATTAGAAGAATTATTCATCATAAAAAGATACGACATTATATAATTTTTTTTCTTTCAATATTTAACATGTAATAGAGACTTGAGTGATAAAAATATGATGATTTTTTAAGTGTGGAAGGTTTTATTTGAAGATTTTGTTGAGAGTATTTTTGGCTTATATAAAATTTGTTGGTCTGGATTCTAATTTCAAAGTTCTGAGTTGGTTATAAGAATTAACAGGAGTTGTTGATTATTTTTTTGAGGAATCATACAATTTAGCTTTCCCATCAACTCATTCATAGTCATTGTTGGAGTAGGATTTTTTGCTGTTGGGGGGAGGAAGCAAAACACGGAACGAAACAAACAAGAAATAGAAAATGCAGCGGAAAAGAAAGAACATCAGGATTTAATATGGAAAATCTCAAAACAAGGAAAAAATCACAGAGACATGCCTCTTCTAGAAATTTACTATGAAAATTTGAGAGAAATAATACAGATCTATCATTTTTCTCACTCTCTCATTTTCTTATTTACATGTCGTTCTCACACTAGAACATATAAAGAGATATAATACAACAACCATGGAACACAAATCTTAATGAAAAACAACAAAGAAAATTACACAGTGGTCTTGCAGCACTGCGACGTGTAGTTGGAGCGCCGCAGCACTCCCACTCTCTAAATTTAGCCTACATGATCGTGCCACAGAGCTCGATATGGAGCGTCGCAACGCCGAGGTTTGAAGCTCCGCAACGCTCTGCACTCTGTCTTTTTCTACCAAACCATGTAGCGTTGGGGCGCTCGGGTACATGATGCTGTAAAAAGAAAAATTCGGGTGCTTTGCACCTAAATCCAAGCAGGGGAGGACCCCTTACAACCCTTCAGCGAGCTGAACGATTGAACGAGGCAACAATACAACCCAATTGATCAACATAATAAGATTCCACGCATAACTAACAGTTGCTAAATCATTTCTTGGATTTGAGTAGAATTGAATTAGTAATTTACATGGATCAATGAAACACCATTACCTCAGTGCTTGTGCTTAAAAAGCTTGGGCCACGAGATTTGGTGTTGGAGTTATCGATATTCACCTAAGTTTGGTTTATCGATTAAACTGATAAGCCTAACTATGGTTTTGTAACTCATTGGTTGTGAATCATGTCAATTTGTTCATAACTCGCCAAGTTTAAGGTTAGATGATCATGCTACCCTTGGCAAAAAAAAAAAATAAAATCATTGAGGCGCCTGAATTGACAAATTCCTCTTCAACTTTAGTAGTCAAAAGTTGAACTCGCCTAAGGGTCTCCAAAAATCACCTACTTGACAAAATCATTCTTCTTGAAGATCTAAACTTCTCGTCATAGCACTTGCCCATTGATTGGGGGTTCTTTTCAGAATTTGTTAAAGGTTCTCATCGAAAGAACTTGTCTAGGGTACTCTCCCTTTTGTTGGAATTCATCCATTGTTCCTGCCGAGCAGACTACAACCAACATCTTATCCTTCGCACTATTTGGAGAGTAACAAAGTTGAAATCCATTGTGATTCTATCTATATAAACATCCATGGCCTATAAAACCGATCAAAGCTGATTGATGTTAGGCTAGATGGCCTATATTGACACAATCAATTACATGCTTTCGTACTCATTACAAAGTCGTTGTCATTGATGCATCATTAGCGGTAATTAAGCGATTAGTTTCTCAACTTCGTCCAAGATTTCTTCTGTGGATCAACCGCATGTCCTTGATCTTTAAAATTTTTTTTTTTGCTTTATTGACTTGACTTTTTTTAAAATTCAAATCCAGGCCTTTAGAACCGCTACTGACCAAATGAGCCTTCTATCTTTCTGCTTTTTAATTATATGTATATCAATATATGTGTGTGCTTATGGTTCTTAAACCTTCTTCTAGTTCTTCCCTGGTGTCTTAACAGCAACTTAAGAATTTCAATTGATTTGCTTCATACTGAACTAGCATTAGCATACATCATTTTGAAGCTCGTTTGGGGATTGAGATTCTCTCCTGAAAGTTTAATCAAGCTAATTTCATCCTTGAAATCCATTTTTGAGCGTTTGTGATTAATTTAACTAGTTTTTTTATGAAACACTTTGACTATGTAGGAATCAATCCTAACCAAAGATAATTGCACTGTGCAACTTGCATGCTAATCATAGTGTTTTTTCGATCATCATTTGAAAGATCAACTGGATGTTTGTCGATAATTTAAGGCTTTGTTTGGAACAGTTTTAGACCGCTATCTTTTCTCTGCTTTCAAAAGATTTTTGTACCAAACAATAGCTTTATAAAGCAACAAGAAAGTCGTCCCAAATGATGCTGAAGTCACGCTAAGAATCCTGTTCTACTTAGTTTTCATTTGGAATGATTTTCACATGATGGTATGAATAAGATAATTGTCATCGTTGTCAATAAGAAAAAAGTAAAGAATAGATAAATAATGGTATGAATATGAATTCGCATTAGCTTTGATTGTTGGCTTGATAACTGGAAAGCTGAGGTGATTATAACCCACAATAAATATCATTTTATTTACATAAAATTTGTTATACAATCATTGATTTAACTTAAATATCAATGTCCATATCATAATTCATTTGATTATTTCTTCCTCCCAAAGTTCAACAATGCTCACCTAGTGGAGACAAACTTCTACAAGTAATTCTTATCTTCAATGCACCAATCATCTTTTTACTTTTTTCTACGCTTCTTTCCTTCATTTTCTTCTCACCATCTATTTGTTCTTAGGAGAATCGAATCATTGGAGAAGATTTTAAGTAAAATATGACAACAAATGTCTAAAATTGACTTAAAAGGCTCCCAATTCACTTTTCTGAATACATATATATATCAAACTATAATATACTTTATGAATTTATCCATTTTTTATTCTTAATTTTTAGGCCTTGTAGCACTTTAGGAAAATATGCACCACTTTTCAAGTATACAAATAGAACAAAAAAAGTAAAGGTTAAATGAACATTGAATGATTTCATGTACAAAGTCATAAAGTGCTATATCTATCATTCATGTCTTAATCCTTTATAAAGATTAAACAAGTTTTATGTCAACATTGGCAGAACTTTAAGACCGAGAAAATCATCAACATGAAAATTTCGTTTGGGATAACTTTACTACTGCTTTCAAAAGCAATTTTTTAGTACAAAAAATTTTAGTTCAACAGATTTTGGAACTAAACGGTTGCTTTAGAAAAAAAGGTAAGAAAGTCGTTCTAAACGAAGCCTAAATCAACTTTTCTACTCTCTCTTATTAATCATCAAAATAGGAAGAGCATCATCTAGATTTTTGGTCTTTTAAAGATTTTTATTCTTTGAAAATGTTTATATTTATATAATTCGTAAAGGTGACATCATGATTAGCTAACCCCTTGTTAAAAAGAAAGCCTCTGAATATCATGAAATGTAGCGTAATTTGGATTAAATTAGTTTGTGATTAGTGTGGTGAGAGCACATCTGTCAAATTTAGGCACTTTTCCATTTATTTATTTAATCAATTACCCTAAATATTAAAATAAAGATCATTACTTTTAGGAGGTTCATCAATCTCATCATCATAAATTCAATAATACTATCACTTCAATTGGGATGATTTTTTATTGCTTTATAAAGTAGATTTTATGTAAAAATTATTTGAAAAATAATACTTTGTACTAAAAAGCTTATTTAAAAAAATAATAAGAAAGTTGTTTAGAGCGAAGCCTATATAAGGTGGAATTTTAAAACATGATATCAATTTTTCTTTTATTTAAAAATTATAACTTATCCAATAATAATAATACTTTTCTATATTGCTATGCATTTGGCTAAAAAATAGCGTGGGATGATATTTTAATGGGGATTTTAATATTTAGATGAGAATTTCATGAATAAAAGTATATAAATATTTATTTTTGTAAATAGTCTAAATTTTTGGGATGCTTATGAAATTATAATCTTATTGTGGGCGAAAATATACGTGGCAGTAGAGCAAGAGAATAAAGTGTTTTCGCAATGTACATATATCTAACACTCCAAGAGATAATTGACATAGAGAAAAACATCATAAATTTTTTTTAGTGGAAAACCCGGAAAGGGATAAATTATGGGATTTGCTCAAATGAAAAAATTCCACTAAGTTTGAATGGATTAAAAACCTTGATTTGCCCCTTAGAGACGATGGAATTACAACGGATTGGAGAATCAAACAAAAATTTGGCGATGGTCAACGAACGGGTGGAAATTCGGAGATGATCGATGAATGAGTGGAAGTTTGATAGTGGTCGGGAAGAACTCCAACAATGGTTGACAAATGAGCAGAAGTTCTATAGTGGTCGGGAAGAACTCCAGCGATGGTGGACAAACAGGCGGAAGTTCGGTGATGGTCAACGAACAAGCAAAAGTCCAACAGTGATCGAGAAGAACTCTAGCGGTGGTCGACGAATGGGCGGAACTCCGGTAGTGGTCAGGAAAAATTCCGACTGTGGTCGATGAACAAGCGAAAGTCTGTAGTGGTCGACGAGCAAGCGGAAGTCTGACGGTTGTCGGGAAGAACTTTGGTCGTGGTAGACAAATGGGCAAAAGTCTGGCGGTGGTCGACGAACAAGCGGAAGTCCGAAAAGAAAGAGTGAATTTATATATAGATTTGTTTTATTTATATAATACCTGATATTTCTTAACTAATTATGAAATATTTATCTCCAATAATCACATGATTCAAATTAAATGAAATAAATTAATAATAGCACAAATAATAAAACGCGGCGACTCTCCATAATACATTTAATTTTTGTTGAATATTCAAAGTCATGGAGCTTTTCGTTATACACACCCCTAAGTTGACTCCGGCAACGACCCTGCGCCACGACACAACGCCGCGTCGTGCAATGAAACACCACCCGTTGCATTCACCCAACGAATCTCCGCTAGATAAGTCGGCTCCGATTTGTGGTCCAAGAAGCAAGTCACATTTTCAGCAATTTGACGCCACTGACAGCACGCCTGCTTGAAATAATGAATATTGTTCGAATATATAAAGAAAACATGAGTGTGAAAAGAGGTGGAATCGAGTCCGGTAATTTTTTTTCTTGAGAAATGAGGGGCAATGCCCAAATACTTAAGTATGTTGAAGTCATGTCTATAAATTATTCGTTTTAATCAAGAAATTAATTATGAAGCAATATCTTGATCAAAATTTCATCAAAGAATTTATATTTTGATTTCATCAAAGAATTTATATTTCTTGAATTTATTTTGAGATAATTTTGCTATAAAACTTAATTGATTGCTCATCTTTAAATACATTTAAAACTTTAAAAATTCTAATAAAAAATTGATATGAGTTCTACTATTAGGTCATTGGTAATGGGCCCCTTCAATTGCAGAGGCCGAGTAAGGTCTATAAAAAACCTTCACCGTATAAGAAAGAAGCAGCTTCACTGTAAAATTTCTACTGGGTCACACACGCTCTCTCTTCCTTTGTCTCTTCTGTCTCTCTTCCTTCCTTGTTTCTTCTCCTTTCAGCCTCTGCCTCCACGTTTAGGTGCATAAGTGGAGGTACGCAGATAGGAATTGAAGGAGATGGTGGCAAAGTTATCATTGACCGCCCAATTGGGACCATCAGAATATGAACGGTAGCCTACCTCCCTCCACCTCACACCAAGATCTATCACGTTTCTGATTTCCATTTATATAAATATCATACGCAAAACTGTCATTTTTCATCCATCCAATCTTAATGTATAGAGAAGAGGAGCTCTTTCTTGGAACTCTCTGTGTGTGTTCTTAGTATCACTCTACTCCGCTTCTCTCTCCTGTTTTTGCTCCCATGGAGATCTCCATAGAACCATCCCAACAGCAGAGACAAGAGGGCATGAAAGGCTTCGATGACGATGGCCGAGTCAGTAGAACTGGTAAAAACATCTTTTTTTTTTGTTTAAGATTCTTCTCTTCGCCATGAAAATAAAAGAAGCACAAAATAATAAAACTTGAATCTTTTTTGCAGGGACTGTGTGGACTGCAAGTTCTCATATCATCACCGCTGTCATCGGCTCCGGCGTGCTATCGCTGGCTTGGGCTGTCGCACAGCTGGGTTGGATCGCCGGTCCAATTGTAATGATTATCTTCTCCTTCGTCACCTTCTACACTTCTTCTCTCCTTGCGGACTGTTACAGAACCGGCGATCCCATCACCGGCAAGCGTAATTACACTTACAGCGCCGCCGTCCATTCCTATCTCGGTTCGTTCCCTCTTAAGTCTTAACTAACCTTTAATAATTCAAAAGCTCTCAGCTTTGATCTGATTACCCTTATAATTATTTCTCAGGCGGAATGAAAGTGAAACTCTGCGGGCTTATTCAGTATCTGAATCTCTTTGGAGTAGCCATTGGATACACAATTGCTGCCTCCATTAGTATGATGTGAGTGGCCGCTCTTCAAATTGTCAAAATCACCTTTTTACCATACAAGCTAATTTTTAAGTATCCTTAAACAGGGCAATTCGGAGATCAAATTGCTTCCATGAGAAAGGGCACAGAAGCCCATGCCATATCTCAAGCAATCCCTACATGATCATCTTCGGCGTCACACAAATTGTCTTTTCTCAAATCCCTGATTTTGATCAAATTTGGTGGCTCTCAATTGTAGCTGCAGTTATGTCCTTCACCTATTCTTCCATTGGCCTGGCCCTCGGCATTGCTCATGTTGTTGGTAAGCAGCTCAAACTTATTAAATCAATTTCCGTTCAAGTTCTGCAATGAAAAAGTTATTAAAAAAAACAACTTTTTTTCTCTTGTTTTGAACAGCAAACGGTGGATTCAAAGGGAGTCTTACTGGAATCAGCATAGGCTCTGTAACCCAGACTGAGAAGGTCTGGCACAGCCTCCAAGCTTTCGGGGACATTGCCTTCGCTTACTCATACTCCATGATCCTCATCGAAATCCAAGTACTCATCTGAACAAAAACCAAAACGGCGGCTTTTTCTTTTTACTTAAATATAACATGCTTGATTCCAGGACACAATCAAAGCGCCGCCGCCGTCGGAAGCGAAAGTGATGAAAAAGGCCACATTTTTAAGCGTGGCAGTGACTACCTTCTTCTACATGGTTTGCGGCTGTATGGGCTACGCCGCCTTCGGCGACTCTGCGCCTGGTAATCTTCTAACCGGCTTCGGCTTCTACAACCCATTCTGGCTTCTCGACATAGCCAACGCCGCCATTGTCATTCACCTCGTCGGAGCTTACCAAGTCTTTTGTCAGCCGCTCTTCGCCTTCATTGAGAAATGGGCGAATCGAACATGGCCGGACTCCAAGTTTATCTCTAAAGAGATCAGAATCCGGTTGAGTTCTACGAAGTCCTATAAGCTTAACCTTTTCCGGCTAGTGTGGCGCTCTGCTTTCGTTGTGCTGACCACAGTGATATCTATGCTTCTTCCTTTCTTCAACGACGTTGTTGGTCTTCTCGGTGCGCTTGGATTTTGGCCGCTAACTGTTTATTTCCCTGTAGAAATGTATATAGTTCATAAGAAGGTGCCTAAATGGAGCGTCAGATGGGTTTGTTTACAAATGCTGAGCTTCGCTTGTCTTGTCATTTCTGTCGCCGCCGCTGTTGGATCCATCGCCGGCGTAGTCTCCGACCTTAAGGTTTACAAGCCATTCAAATCGGGCTCTTGAAAAAAAAAGATTCCCTGTTTTGGTCGGTTTTGTATTTTTTAATTTCTAGCTTGGCATCGTTGGAACTTGAAAGATAAGGAAAAGATTTTGAATTTTGTACTAAAGAAAGCCCTTATTAGCTGGAGACTTCGTGGAAGAATCTAAACTAAAGATGGGGCCTTTAAACTGATTACAAGAGAAAATTTTCTTCTTTTTTTTTTTATAATTGATGGGAAAGGGGCAGAGAAATTGGGGATGAAAGATGGCCCTGCTTCGTCCACTTGTTAAAAAAATTTGGATAGAGGATGGCGCAGATAATCATCAGGAATTTAAAATTCTAATGATACATTTCAATAATGAGCCCGTGTTTCCTGGAGGAATTTTCAATATCAGAAAACACGAGTATTTAAATTAAAATTTTGAATTCTAGATCATTTAACTTTTATTTTTAATAGGCCTATAATCGAGATAATGTGAATTTTAAGTCACTCTGCAATCATGATTTGCCTCTGCTATATAATCACCTCTCTCCTGGTGACAAAATGGGATTGTTAAGTATTTGTTACTTCTTTTACTATGTATTTGTAGATACACAGTGTATATACTCAATTGTAAGTATTTATTGAATATTTGATGAGTTTTTATTGAGTATTTATTGCATTTTACCGATTTACTTTGTATTTGTTGTTTATTTACTGGGTATTTTAAAATATGTAGTAAATAAGCAACAAATACTTAGCAATCCGAACGATTCTCTACATTAGGAGTCCGTACATAATAACCGCAGGAACAATTACCCGTGTGCTAGTTCCACACATGATAATGTGCTCCCCAAGCGTAGGCCTATGACTCTAAACTTCATCAGGATCCAAATGATCGCATAAATTTGTCAATGGATGATATTGTGACAAGTCGAAGCACCCTCTGACATAGATGATAGATGGTCGAATGGGAATCATTAAATAAAGATGAAGAGAGTTGGATGATGATTGCACAACACCTGACTTAAGATGAGCTTCTTCCATCTTGCTAAATTGTGATGGAAGACCTTTAAAAATTAAGAAAATTTTATACAATTATGTATAATTGAAAGATTTTGTCATTAAATTTCCTTATAATCATATATATTATAGAAATTATTCTCTCTTTCTCTAAAATAAAATGATTTTGTCATAAAAAGAAAGAATAAGATCAAAGAAAAGGATAAAAGTGTGAGAAAATTGAATCAACTCACAATAATCTCCACCTTAGACCAATTTTACAATGTTTAATAGAATTTTCCCATTGGTTGCCTCCTCTCCTCCACCTGCTTTTGTCTACCAAGCAAGAAGGATTGTTTGAACCTTCTTATTGCCTCCTCCTTGGTTATACACAACTAGGGTTTAGATACTTCCGCTCTTACAACTAATAGCCGGACCAAATGAACCTATTGCGCCTCCCGATCTGTGACCTCTTGTCTAGCCCGCATGTTCGGTGACTCCGCCTCCCGATCATGACACTAGGCCTCTTTGCGCTCAATCAAGAATTTTGGCACCCGTGCGACCTGTATCACCACACTCATGAGAAGTCTACCAACTACACCCTTGGCCCGAACTCCCACACTCGACTGCCCATAGGAACTCTTGTACGGATCCACTTGCAGCTCGTGTGCGCACCTACGCATGACATAGACGGTCTTGTGCTTAACCTGAGGTTCCACCTACTTCTGATTGCAACCAAGAAGCCTGTAGACCAGCTCACCAGCTCTGCTCGTGCCCTGCACAACACTTGTTATACATATGTCTGTCTTTCTACTTGCCCAAGCTTGAACCCAACTACCTATGCCTTGTGCACGCTATCCGATCTCGTACCCGACTCACTTCCACGGGCATCTGCCTGCACACATTATCCTAAACGTCTGTTGCGAACCTGCATCCCTCCTGACTGCCATGATGCCTATTATAACCCAGGCTCGATCAGATCTCGTGCTTCCATTCAAGGCGTGCATGCTTTTCTCCTCCACGAGACCCAAGCCCACACGCTTGCACCTACATGATCCCTTGCTCCTACGCGAATGTGTCCGTCGTCCAAGCGCAATTGTGTGACCCAAACTCCCGTCACTACGCCCGCGGACACCATGTCATGCCTCCTTCCTCTCATGCCAGCGGCATCAACCACCCGTGCATATTCCCTCACATGCTCCGAGCTCTGTACAATCTTTCATGACATTTTCTTGATTGAAAAAACCTCCTCCACCTCTAGATTGCCTCCACAAGGCTCTAAAACCACTTGTTATATTCTTGGAGGAATAAGAGATTTTTTTGGATGAGAGACAGATAAGGAAGGGAGAGAGAGAATATATACTAGAGGAAAAATAACTGTATATTATTTCATTTTCCCCACTTTTTAAGAGAATCCAAACCTCTGCTTATTACACTAGAAACAGGTAAGATGAACTTAAGAAACAATATAACATAAAACTAAACCAAATCACAACAAAAAAAATACAAGATTTGAAATGGTTGATTGATACAAACACATGAATTAAGTTGAAGGGTATACACATGATGATCGATCTATCTTCTGATGTGACTTAGGATATCTCCTGTAAGTATCCATTTTGAGTGGTAGGTACTCCAGGGCGAGTGTCTTGAACAAGTCTTTAAATGAGAGTACCTTGAGCAAGCCTTATAAGATCGATGAGTATCTTTTTAGAGGTTAAAGTATTTGTACTTTAGAGTTATCTATACTGACATGTATGGACATACAATAAAAAGATAACTCAAATTATAATCCAAAACTTTTTATTTTTTTATCATGACATTTATATATTTTGTGCATCAACTTTATTAATTTTTTACTTTCACTAAATATCTCTAGAGCCAAATCTTACTGGCATAAATATAAGAAACCCTTCCCAAAGAATCACAATTTGCTGGACACTGCAAGACATTTGCTATGGCGAGCTTCAGCTCTTATTTCTGGATTTTACAATGCTTAAAATGCTGGCACCAATTTCAAATAAAAAAAAATTATAAAAAGCACAGAGAATTGTTCCTAATGATCGATAGAATACATGTATTTATTGATATCATCAATCTTCGAAAATCTTCGAGGAATAATTTTGTTGAATATCCAGTGCTTAAGCTACCATGTGGCAGATAAAACTAACAGCCTGTATTTTCAATAGCAGGCTCTACAACAGAAAATAAATAACATCTTCATTGATCAAATCAAACGAATATATTACCACAGACTTCCATATTCCTTCGACTGCATCGTTATACTCTTAATAGATTCGCTACTGTACAGACCAAAGAGTTGGAAGAAGCTGACTAATTAATATAATTTGAAACGGTTGAAGTTGACTGTGCAATTAATTATAAGTTATTATGAAAATAATAAAGTGAAAACTGCTCTTAACTTTACCATCATGCATATCTAATATATCTGATTGTGAAAACTACTACAACAACAACAACAACATCAAGCCTTTATTGTGGAACTTGATTATTCAATGAATCAAGATTGCAGCCATGTAAAGAAACGAAACAGAGATAAACCACTGGATAAAAGAGATAAAGAGAAAATCTTATTCATCATTTAATAGATGGGTACAGGAGGCATATATATAGCCGACCTATTCTAGTAAGCAAAACCAGTTACATAAAGGGCAATACAGGTACATCAAAATAAGATATAAGTAACAGCTCTAATACCCCCCCTCAAACTGAGGGTACTTGAGAGACAGTCAGTTTGCTACGGAGAAATTGAAAGAGAGGGGTGGATAGAGATTTGGTGAAGATATCCGCCGTCTGATCGATGGTACTGATTGGTAAAATACTGATATGTTGTTGTTGAATATGATCCCGAAGGAAGCGATGATCTATCTCAATGTGTTTCGTTCTGGCGTGAAACACAGGATTATTAGCAAGTGCGATTGCGGATGTATTATCACAAAAAATTTCGGTAGGTTTGTCTTGAAGGATGCCGAAATCAAGAAGTAACCGCCCGAGCCAAATAATGTCTGCCGTGAGAGCTGCCAATGAGCGATACTCAGATTCAGTTGATGACCGAGCTACAGTAGTCTGCTTCTTGACTGTCCATGAAATAAGAGATTTGCCGAGAAAAGAACAATAACCGGAGGTGGATTTCCGAGAAATTGGATCACCCGCCCAATCGGCGTCTGAAAAAGAAGTGAGAGAAAAATCAGATTTAGATATAGGAATACCATAATCAATCGTACCTTTTATATAACGCAGCAGCCTTTTTAGAAGGAAGGCATGTTCAGGTAGCGGTTGATGCATGTGTTGAGATATGAGATTGACACTATATGCAATGTCGAGCCTGGTAAGACAAAGATACTGTAATGAACCAGTTAATCGGCGGTACATGGATGGCTCGGTTAGGAAAGGATCGGGCGGAAATTCCTTAGGCATTTTTGTGCAGGTGGGGTTAGATACGGGATTACAGCGCGTGAGTTGAGCAATTTGTAAGATCGACTGAGCATAAGGAGCTTGAGAAATGAAGTACACATCATTATGTTTGGTTATTTGTAAACCAAGAAAAGATGTTGCTTTGCTTAACGGCTTCATAGCAAACCGATCGTTTAAAAGTTTGATAACGTTATTTATTTCACCTGCATTGTTACCCGTAATTAAAATATCATCAACATAAACGAGTAAATATACAGTAATTTTATCTTTATGAAGCATGAGTAGAGAAGGATCGGATTTACTATGGGTGAAACCAATAGAGACGAGAAACGATGTGAAAGTGTTATACCAGAGTCGCGGAGCTTGTTTGAGACCGTAGATAGCTTTGTTGAGAAGACATACGTAATCGGGGTTAGTTGTGTCCTCGAAGCCTTGTGGTTGGCTCATGTACACTGTCTCCGATAGGGAGCCATGAAGGAAAGCATTTGATACGTCCATTTGTTTCACTGGCCAGTTGTTCTGAAGTGCAATAGCCAATAGAATCCGAATGGTGGGTAATTTGGCAACCGGACTAAACGTTTCGGTATAATCTAGTCCGAACTCTTGATGATTTCCGAGCGCCACCAGCCTAGCCTTATGTTTATCCAGTGAGCCATCCGCGTGAAATTTGGTGCGGTAGGTCCATTTGCATCCTAAGATAGACGAATTAGACGGTCGAGGAACTAGACTCCATGTACCTTGAATTTGGAGTGCAAGAAACTCATCGGCCATTGCTTTTCGCCATTCGGCATGTTTGCTGGCTT